CATCGATGGATGAATGGATAAAAAAGATGAAGTGTATATATATAATCACTATAATATATATTATATATATAATCACTATATATAATCACTATGTTGTGCATTAGATTTCCAGAACATACTCATCTTCTAGTTGCAAGTTGGTATCCTTTAACATCTTCCCAATCCCTCCACCCCTCAACCTCTGGTAACCACCGTTCTACTATTTCTATGAGTTCAGCCTTTTTAGATTCCACATACAGGCGATATCATATAATATTTGTCTTTCTCTGTCTGGTTTATCTCTGTCACAATGCCCTCAAGGTCCATCCATGTTGTCACAAATAACAGGATTTCCTTCTTTCTTATTGCTGAGTAATATTTCATTGTATATATGTGTATATGTGTGTGTGTATGTATATAGTTTTTTAGATATTCTATATATGTGTGTGTATATATACATATATATATGCCACATCTTTTTTATCCACTCATCCATCGATGGGCACTTAGGTTTTTTCTCTATCTTGGCTATTGTGAATAATGCTGTAATAAACACAGGAGTGCAGTTATCTCTTCAATATCCTATTTTAATTTCTTTCAGGGATATACCCAGAAGTAGGATTGCTGGATCATATGATAGCTGTATTTTTTATTTCTTTTTTTTAAAGATTGTATTTATTTATTTGAGAGAGAGAGAGAGAGCACGAGCAGGGGCAAAGGGAGAAGGAAAGGGAGAAGCAGACTCCCACTGAGCAGGGAGCCTGATGTGGGACTCAATCCCAGGACCCGGAGATCATGACCTGAGCTGATGCTTAACCGACTGAGCTACCCAGGCACCCTTGTATTTTATTTTATTTTTTTAAAGATTTTATTTATTTATTTTGACAGAGAGAGAGAGACAGCGAGAGAGGGAACACAAGCAGGAGGGGGAGTGGGAGAGGGAGAAGCAGGCTCTCCACTGAGCAGGGAGCCCGATGCAGGGCTCCATCTCAGGACCCTGGGATCATGACCTGAGCCAAAGGCAGACGCTTAACGACTGAGCCACCCAGGCGCCCCTTGTATTTTATTTCTTAAGGAACCTCCATACTGATCCATAGTGGCTAAACCAGTTTATATTCCCATCAACAGGGCACAAAGTTTCCCTTTTCTCCAAATGGTTATCAACACTAGTTATTTCTTGTCTTCTTAATGATAGCCATTCTAACAGATGTGAAGTGATATGTCATTATGGTTTTGATATGGGTTTTCCTGATGATTAGTGATGTTGAGCATCTTTCCATGTACCTGTTGGCCATTTTGATGTCTTCTTTAGAAAAATGTCTATTCAGTTTCTCTGCCTCTTTGCTTTATTCAGGCCTTCAAAGGATTGAATGAATAATGCCCATCTGCACTGGTCAGGACAGTATTCTACAGATTCAAATGTTAATCTCTTCTGGAAACACCATCACAGCCATACCCAGAAATAATGCTTTACCAGCTATCTGGGCATCCCTTAGTTCACTCAAATTGATACATAAAATTAACCATCCCACCAACCTCAGACAAACTCACTCTGAAACCAGGATAAAAATGAAACAAAGCAAGGCCAGTCCATAGTTTTGCCCAAGCACAGGCAAAAACAAGGTCATTGTGCAACCCCCCAAAATACCAAACATCCTTCTGTCTTGCTATGCGTGACTATTTAGGCACCGAATCATGAAATTGCTCTGGCTTTCTGACAGCATCCAATCTGGAGCAAACCCCCACTTTCTTGGATCCTTTCCCAAATCACCTAACTGAAGCTCAAGTCCTATAAAGATATTCTTTCTAACACCCTCTTACTGAGGCCCCCATGATCTCCACCACATGTTCTTCCTCACTGAAATAAGTAACAAATCCAGATTGTTCAACTACAGTTGTGCTCCCGGTGGTCTTTGGCTGAAGGGCACTGTCAATACTAGGGGATGGAAATCCATGTTATAGATGAATTTTTGTGTTTGAGAATATTACTCTTTAATAGTAAAATAGAGATCCCAAAAATCACTGCATTCTGAAAGAAGTGAAATGTAAGCAAACCCAATGTGAAAACAACTGTACAGAATTGCTGAGGGCACAGACAGAGAAAATGAAGAGAGTAGGTTGGTTGATCATCATTCTCCTCCTTGACAGAGGGTGGCTTACTGCAAGTGACCCCAGAGGGGGTGGGTAGGAAGACAGTTTGTAAGCTTGAAGGCCAAAAGGAATGTTAGCTGTTTTCTCCCTTTGTGCCAACTGATGTGCAAACACAGTTTCATGTCATTCTCACACTAGTCCTGCAAGGCAGATTTTATCACCGTCACCACCATTGACTTGAATGATGGAGAACAGGGCCTGGAGAGAGGTTAAAAAACATATGCAACAACATGGAGAGAAGCCAGAGGATCTGCGAGACTCTGAAGTTCATGGACAAGATACTACACCACTGGTCTCTAAGTGCTGCCAAATATTTGCACACCAGTGGAAAGAAACCTTTTTAAATGAAGAGCTAAGCCAGGAAAAAAAACCATTGAATACTGAATTTTTTTTTAAAAAGTGTTATTTTAAAATTAGATGTAATATTACAACTATTGTTAAAGTATTCTTATTTTCTCATTATCCAAGTATTTTTTTTCCTTTTGAAAAATAAATTTTTGGTTAAAATTTCAAAAATGATATAACCTGTGAGCATTGCATTCTCTGAATGTAATACTGCTATAGTGAATAAATTTTGTTGTTAAATAAAAGAATTTTGAATCTAGTTGATGTACTTTTTAAAAATTTACTGACCTCCTAAATTGCTTAATGAAATGATGTTTCTCACTCTACTTCTTAATATTGACTTTATTTTTTAAAATTTATTTTTTATAAATCATGTTGATTGGTACTATTATGTTGATAGTACCTTTGATAAGATGTAATGAGAAGGGTACTTGACCTCTGTGGTTTTCCTCCCCAAAATATACAACCCCTGTCTAATCCTGAGAAAAGTCCTGAGAAAAATATCAGTCCCATTTTAGGGGACATTCTGCAAAATAACTGCTCAATACTCCTCAAAACTGTCAAGGTCATCAAAAACAAGGAAAGTGTGAGAAATGGTGGGAGCCAAGAGGAGCTTAAGGAGATATAATGACTTAATATAATGTTTCCCTCTACATCTTTGCAATACTTTGTACTACTAGATACTGAATCTTCGCCAGGATTTCAGTTAATGGTTTTAGTATTCGTTGCTGATCATTACCCAAAATCTATTCATTGGAGTTGTAGATAATGATTTCTCTAATTTTATGGGGTTTTAGAAATCAGTAATGGATATTGATTTTTATTGAATACCTTTTCTGCATCTATCAAAATGATCATATTTTTCTGTAAATGATTATTGCGTTCCTGGGATCAACATTGCTCATTATATTTTGTTCATGAACTGCTGAATTATACTTAATATATGTAGCAATTTTAAATCTATTTTCAAAAAGTAATTATAATTCTATTTTTTCTTATAACATTCTTGTTTGTTTTGATGCCAAGGTTATACTTGTTTTAGAAAATGAATGAGTAGCTCTTCCCCTGGTCCACGCTGGACTTACCATATCCTCGATCTTGAAGATGCATTTACAAAGGAGCGCTGCAGGCTACTCACCAGTGTTAAGTGTCGTCCTTCCAGACACTGACCCAAGAGTGTCACCAGTTGGTTGTGCTGCTCTAGTGGTTTTTATTTTTACTCATGAAAGGAAGGAAGGAAGGAAGGATGGAAGGAAGGAAGGATGGATGGAAGGAAGGAGGGATGGAAGGAAGGATGGAAGGAAGGAAGTATGGAAGGAAGGAAGGATGGAAGGAAGGAGGGATGGAAGGAAGGATGGAAGGAAGAATGGAAGGAAGGAAGTATGGAAGGAAGGAAGGATGGAAGGAAGGAAGGATGGAAGGAGGGATGGAAGGAAGGAGGGATGGAAGGAAGGATGGAAGGAAGGAAGGATGGAAGGAAGGAGGGATGGAAGGAAGGATGGAAGGAAGGAAGGATGGAAGGCAGGAGGGATGGAAGGAAGGATGGAAGGAAGGAGGGATGGAAGGAAGGAGGGATGGAAGGAAGGAAGGAAGGAAGGAGGGATGGAAGGAGGGATGGAAGGAAGGATGGAAGGAAGGAGGGATGGAAGGAAGGAAGGATGGAAGGAAGGAAGGATGGATGGAAGGAAGGATGGAAGGAAGGGGGGATGGAAGGAAGGATGGATGGAAGGATAGAAGGATAGACAAGCAGAAAGGACAAACAAATAAAAAGTAACTATCCATTCATCAACTAGAGAAAGCCATAATCAATGGTTTGGCTTTATCTTTCTTAATAATTGACTCTTTCATGGAGTTATTGACCAATTTAAAAAATCTGCTTTTTAACATGTATCATATGATCTCACTGATATGAGGAATTCTTAATCGCAGGAAACAAACTGAGGGTTGCTGGAGTGGGGGGTGGGGTGGGAGGGTTGGGGTGACTGGGTGATAGACACTGTGGAGGGTATGTGCTCTGGTAAGCGCTGTGAATTGTGCAAGACTGTTGAATCTCAAATCTGTACCTCTGAAACAAATAATGCAATATATGTTAAGAAAAAAAAAAGAAGAAGAAGAAGGTAGCGGGAGGGGAAGAATGAAGCGGGGGAAATCGGAGGGGTAGACGAACCGTAAGAGACGATGGACTCTGAAAAACAAACTGAGGGTTCTAGAGGGGAGGGGGGTGGGAGGATGGGTTAGCCTGGTGGTGGGTATTGAGGAGGGCACATTCTGCATGGAGCACTGGGTGTTATGCACAAACAATGAATCATGGAACACTTCATCTAAAACTAATGATGTAATGTATGGGGATTAACATAAGAATAAAAAAAAGATCTGCTTTTTAGTGAAGATTGAAATTGTTAGTGAAAGTTATTTCTTGCACCAAACTGTTCTTTCATTTGGCTACTTTGTTTAAAGAAGAGAAAATAAATAATTACAATGGTTATTTTATTTTATAGGGTTATTGACTGCAGATTGCAGTCACCATGTCTGACTCAGTAATTCTTTGCAGTGTGAAGAAATTTGGAGAGGACAATTATGGTTTCGAGTCAGAAAGCTTCCGTAAGTGGACTTTTTCTCTTACTGTCTCTAACATAAACAGAGGTTAGACAAGCTAGTGAACTTTCAAGGGGCAGAAGAAAACCAACAATAATATGGGGAACAATTACTGGATGCATTTCTTACCCACAAATGGGTGGTTCGCTCCAGAATCAATGTAATAGAATGTTTGAAAATGACAGGTAAAAACACATGAAGTGTGGGTGAATGCGGGGTGGCTGCGTACACTGAAGGACACACCAGTGGAACTGGTACCTTTTGCAAGACTGAAATCATGGCAGGTCCAGAAATTAATGCCCAATTCCATTTCACTGATATCAAAACATGTTTCAACTCTTATACTCTCACAGGTAGAATGAATTATGTACTGGCTACGTATGGAGGCATTGCTTTGATGGTCTTATACTTCAAATTAAGGTCTAAAAAAGCACCAGCTGTGAAAGCAGCATAAACGGATTTTAAACTGTACCTCACCTGTTAAGTTCCCATGCCTGGAGAAGCTAATGTCAACTCATCATGTAATACTCAACCTGTACAATAAATTAAGAACCTAGGAAAAAGAAACCACACGAAGTGTGGGTGAATGAAAGTATCTCATCTATAAATATCCAGCACTGGTTATTATTATTGCCTTTATCCATCTATTGTTGTAATTGATTATAGTAGTAATTATTTAGTGAGAAACTACCAAGACTATGTTGGTCAGAATGAGATAATGGGAAAGAGGACCCATACATTAGTACCTAACATCTAGTGAGCACAAGTGATTCCAAGCAATTACTATTATTATTAGTTTTTAAAGAGTTATTTACTTATTTGAGGGAGGGAGAGAGAGTGCCCAAGCAGGGGAAAGGGCAGAGGAAAAACATAGGGGAAGCAGACTCCCCACTAAATGCTGAGGGGAAGCCCAACTGAGGGGGCTCCATCTCGGATCCTGAGACCGTGACCTGAGCTGAAACCAAGAGTTGGACGCTTAACCGATTGAGCCACCCAGGTGCCCCGCAATTATTAGTTTTTTAAACAAATCCTATGATTTTACAACTTACAGAAGAAAAAATGAGACTTGAGTAAATTTTTTAAAACTTGGCAAAGATTACATAACCAATAATTAATGGAGCCATCATCCTAATCCAGTTCTGATTCCTAAACACAAGATATTTAATCTCTATCTGTGCTATAATGTCTCTTTACTCTTACTTAAATTAAATTAATTAAAATGCCAGGGAATCAGGATGTGTTGTCCCATGGCGGTGGTTGACATTAATACCATGAAATTCCTTTCCCTGTTTCTTCCCTACACCCATGACCCTGTACCCCACTTTCACTGCCTACCCTCCATTTGCTCTCATCTATGCTGGGGAAAATCATATCCAGCTCAATCCTGTGGTTTCTCCTGGCATGGGAGTGTTAACATCATCTTACTGTCTAGTTAATTTGTAGTCTCAATTTTAAACAGATAAATTCTCATGTTTCTAAGAAACAAAACAATAAATACTTATTTTACTCAGTAGTTCAAAAAATTAGATTTTATTCAGCTAATTTAAAAATGTTGGTCTCCTGTTGACATTCAGAAAATACAAATATGTCATATCCTGTAGAAATATTGAAAAATGTAGTCAAGCTAGCAGTCCTGAACCTGACAGAGTGTTTTCTTGTGTAATGAGAGACAGAGAGAGAGAGAATGAAAAAAAAGGAGAGAAAGGCAAATAGTCATTTTGCTGTGTTCCATGAATAAAGCTAATTTATGGGAATGTTTTCCTGGAGCAAAATTGTTAATGACTATGTTGTTGTGTCATTATTAACTGCTTTGTGCATTGTTTTTATCCTGACAGATAACAATGATAAGAATTCAAGGTAAGTGACTATTTCAACAATACATCATCTTTTCTAGAATAGCTCCCTAATATTCCTTTTAAAGGCACAAAACAGAGATAATATTTTCATGCATCTTGTACTTCTTATAAAATGGCATAGGTAATCCATTCCTTTTCTCTTTAAAACATTGCTGTAATTGATTTCAAAAACCTTTTGAAATATTCCTTCTGTATTGGGTCCAAATCTCCTCCATGTATCCAGCAACACCACAGAATTTCTAACCTAAATGGGCAGAGGAAAAGTTGAACAATTATGATTTCATGAGCACAGGGGAGATCCATAAACCTCAAATTCTTCCCATAGACAAATACAAGAACCCTAAAATTTAATTAGTAGATACTTCTCTTTAGTTTGAGAGTTTAAATTCTCACATAAAAATATTAATCATACATTGGTATAAATGTAGGACTAGACAGAGTCTAACCTGAGAAGACAGAAGGCAGGCACCAGGCAAGTTCCTAGAAAGAGGTGGTAGGAAGGCAGAGGTTGAAGTTATAAAGGAAATTCTAAGTAATTATATAAGAAAATCTAAGTAAGTAGAGTGCTAGGGTCAGCCTGGGCCTAGAAGAACCACGCTTTTCTCACTGGGTAGAAAAAAGATGAAAACAGGTGTGGGTGTAGATGAATGGCAATGAGAGAATGAATAGGAAGTTTGAGTGAATTCTTCAGTTTTTAGAGGAGATGAATCCATCTTCTGATACATGTGGTAATGTAGAATGAGAAGATCATGGTGAAAGTTTGAGAAAGCTGTGGAGGCAAATGGAACAATCTGTAGACAGATGAAGTACAGTGCTGTAGATTGAGCTAAGACTGGAGATAATATTCATTCATTCATTCATTCATTCATCCATTCATTTCACAAATATTAATTAAGTGCCTACCAGGTGCAGGCACTATTACAAGGGCTTAGGATACAGAAAAGAACAAAATGGGTCAAAACATCTGTCCTTGAGGAGTTTACATTTTAGTGAGGGTGACATAATATGCACCATAAATAAATACAATATATAGCATGGTAGCTAGTAATAATCTATCACTTTCTTTCTAAGAAAAAAAAAAAAGCAAACATGGAATGGAGATACGGAATGATGTGGGGAGAAAGTTGAAATTTTAAAGGCTTTGGCCAGGGAAGGTCCCATTGAGAAGGTGAGTTATGAGGGAAAGTCTGAAGGAGATGAGGGGGTTGGTCATGCAGGTATCTGAAGAAAGAGCTTTCTGGCGAGAGGAAACAGCAAGTGCAAATGGTCAGAAGTGAGGATAAATTTGACCTGAACAAAGGTCAGCAAAGAGGCCAAGTGGCTCGGGTGCTGAGAATTGGAGTGCAGTAGGAGGAGCCAAGTTCAGAGAGCCAATTGGCCAGACCGTGGAGGGCCTTGGGCATCTCAGCAAGGACTTGGGATTCTACTCTGAGCTGGAGGGGAAGCTTAGGGCAGCTGACTGTCAGGCATGGCATGTGTTGGCATCAGTTCACATGATGGAAAGCTTGTCTCCGGCAGGCCCCACAGCCTGGCTTTGGGAGGACGGGGCAAACAGCTGCATGGAGGCAGAGATGGAGTTTCCAAAGATGTAGTCGGGAAAAGGATTAAGGATGATGGTAAGAATGTAGTCCAAATGGCTGGTGTGGGGTCTGGGATGCATGGGGAAGAAAGCACAATCTTGATGGGGTTTTAACATTTGTAAATTAATGAGGGTTTAAGGGACTGCAGACCTCAACTAAGATGACAAATAGGTGTAGAAGGAGGAAGGAAGTAACAAAACAGGATGCATAGGCCATCCCAGAATGCCAATGGAGTAGAGTAGTTTCTGGTGAAAGAAAGGTCCAGGGTGTATCCATGAATGGATGACTCAGGTGAAGTAGAGATCCCTGGAGTTGAGACAGTCAAAGATGGGTTAAATACAACTTTATGAGAAATGAAATGAGTAAGAAATACTAAGGAAATACAATTTTATGGGAAGTATGGGAGTTTTTAAAACTTTCCCATCATATCAATACTATTTAATGTAGTTGTAAAATTTTTTTTTTAATTTAATTTATTTATTTGAGAGAGAGAGAATGAGAGACAGAGAGCATGAGAGGGAGGAGGGTCAGAGGGAGAAGCAGACTCCCTGCCGAGCAGGGAGCCCGATGCGGGACTCGATCCCGGGACTCCAGGATAATGACCTGAGCGGAAGGCAGTCGCCCAACCAACTGAGCCACCCAGGCGCCCAGTTGTAAAATTTTTAAGTGCTAGAAGGAAGCTTTAAATCAGCTAATCCAACCACCTCAATTTACATTACAATGAAATGTAAATAGAAACAGGTTAAGGGTCAAGGCTGAGGTCCAATAGTTTTATGTTAGTATAACTGGGAGTACAGAGCATTTTTATTTTCTTTCAGTACCTCTCAGAAAAACTTCACTGAATCTCTGCTGAACATGAGATATAGCTATACTGAAATCTCTGGAAGAGGTAAATCTTAAAAATACGCTTGTTTTTAGGATGCTAGGTTTGGCAAGAATTTCTGTCAGTGGGGACTTTTATTTCTCACTAAAGGATGACTCATAAGGGCGCCTGGGTGGCTCAGTCGTTGAGCGTCTGCCTTCGGCTCAGGTCATGATCCCAGGGTCCTGGGATCGAGTCCCACATCGGGCTCCCTGCTCGGCAGGAAGCCTGCTTCTCCCTCTCCCACTCCCCCTGCTTGTGTTCCTGCTCTCGCTATCTCTCTCTCTGTCAAATAAATAAATAAATAAAATCTTTAAAAAAAAAAAAAAAGGATGACTCATAAAATCCTTACCTAGGGAGAATTTCTGTTTGTTTTGGAAAGAATGGTCTATAAATCCATATGTTTTTCTCTTCAGGTTACAAGATGAGAGGAAAGGTGACAGCAGTCAAGTTGGCTTCTTTCAATTGGTAATAAAACTGTGCTGATTTTTGACATAAATTTTGCAACTGTAAATTGTTCAGATCATGGAGGGAGTGTTAAATCTTTAGTCACTGGCAGGTTTTTAAGTATGGGTTCACTTGTTCAGTCATAAACTTTGCCTATGTAATAACATGCTAAATGGTTAGAATATATTGGTAATTAAATATAAATCCTGGGGCGCCTGGGTGTCTCAGTCAGTTAAGCATCCAACTCTTGATTTCAGCTCAGGTCATGATCTCAAGGTTGTGAGATTGAGTCCTGTGTTGGGTTCCACACTGGGTGTAGAGCCTGCTTAAGATTCTCTCTCTCCCTCTCCCTCCGTCCCTCCCCACTCTCTCTCTCCCCCCTCTAAATAAATAAATAAATAAATAAATAAATAAATAATATTAAACACATAAATATTATCTGATAGATTAGAAAAGTGTCCTGGAAAATAATCACTAAGCCCATAATTATTTTAGTAAAGAAAATCAGCACAGTAATCACATGATGTATATTTATCCTTATGACATATCTTTGGAAATTCTATAGTGGGTATTTTCCCCAAATTTTCACAAGGTAGAGGCATTTCTAGGCACTAATAGTCACTCTTGTTTGTCACTATCAGTTCTGGGATACAATTTATGCTATTGCTGAATGCTTCACACAGTATTTCTACACAGCTATTGCATCAATGCCAGTGACCACTTCCCACTGAAGTTGTGAATCAATGGCTAAGACCTGAAGTCAGTTCTTTAGGTAAAGAGAATGAATTCAGAGACTAGGAAAGAAATAACATAAACTAGCAATGTAAGAGTCTAGTGTTTTAGATAATTGATATACAACTTATTTTTTTAAAAAGATTTTATTTATTTATTTGAGAGAGAGCAAAAGCGAGAGAGATCACAGAGGGAGAGACAGAGGGAGAAGCAGACTCCCCACTAAGCAGAGAGACTGATGTGGGGCTTGATCCCAGGACCCTGGGATCATGACCTGAGCCAAAGACAGACGCTTAACCAACTGGCTCACCCAGGTCCCCCGATATACCATTTATTTTGATAAAATTAGTGAAAACTCTACTGTTCAACTAAGATGATTCCCATAAATTTGGTGCTGAATGCTATTTATCAGAATCTAGTAACTAAAATTAAATAGTCCTACTTCTCCTGCTTTTCACCATAGATGATCTCTGAATCCTTTGTTTTTCAAGTTTCGATTCTCTTCAACGACTGACATTTGGCTGATGTTTGTGGGAAGTTTATGTGCATTTCTCCATGGACTATCCCATCCAGGCGTGCTCCTCATTTTTGGCACAATGACAGATGTTTTTATTGAATATGACACTGAATTACAAGAACTCAAGATCCCTGGAAAAGCATGTGTAAACAACACTATAGTATGGATCAACAGCTCCCTTAACCAGAATGTGACAAATGGAACTCGGTGTGGGTAAGCTGCTATTTTTTATTTTTTACTTTTTTTGCTCATATATTAAATTGTAATTCAAAATGTGTAAATGGGATTTTATTAGCTGAACTGCAGTGATATCTAACACAGAGTGAACAGAAACATAAATTTAACCCACATTTCTGCAAATTACTCTGCCCTGAGGTTCTTCCTATCTTACCAGGTTTTTAAATCCTAACAAAAAAACAGAATTGGAAATTATCCATTAAATGTGTCACCCAAATTTAAGCACTTGATAGACTATAGGCTTGAGGATGAACACTACCAGTATACTAGGAAGGTAAGCCATGAATTTTACTTGAGTCCTTGTCATGTCTCATGTCTTATATGTAAGACTGCTTTTAGTTCCTTAACTCCTTTCTGCCTCTTAGCTTCTGTGGCTGTGGCTAATGGTCCACTTGATCTTCAGCCTTCTTTCTATAATAGGAAATTCATTAGTGTGCTACAGCACTTGGAGTAGGGGCTGCTTGGTCTCAGTAGTTGAGTTTCTATGGAAGAGTGGCGTGGCACTATAAACAGAAGGGGGCCACGCTGTATTAGCTAGAACCCACTGTGCTACTACTCATTTTGTGATAAGCCCAACAGGCTGCCTTGTAAGCAGTGAGTCCGTATTGTTCATGGTGCTGACTCACTGTCACAGCATGAACTTTGCAGCCTGGCTCACACTGCCTCAGGGCCAGAACAAGCTCATTTGCATGTATGAACCTGCACACTCAGGTTCAAGAGCCAAGGGCAGGGCACATCCTGACTAGAAAGACACTTGGAATAGCTCCCTAGGCAAATTTATATTTTTCACCTTCATTTAAAAATTTTTCTATGTATTTCATTTAGATTATGAACAAATCCTTCTAAACCACCGATCTGTGCCATAATATTATCTACTGTTAGGGTGTTCCATTCATTCACTCATTCAACCAAAATTTTTTGAACACCAACTACATACCAGGAACTTGTGTAAGCCTCAAGTCATGGTCCTTATCTTCAACATGGCGTTTAGGTGTAGTCAGTAAAATCATCATTAAATCAAAGACCATTCAAATATATATGTAGTTACAGCTGGTTAGTACTTGACAGAAAAATACAAGACAATATGCAAAGTGCAGCATTACCCTTTAAAAAACAATAAGCTTAATATTAGAAATAAATTTCCTAATATGTGTGTGTATATATATATATGTGTATATATATATGTTCTTTTATATGTATGTGTATATATATATGTTCTTTTCTAAATTTGGAAGTAAGATTCGGAACAGTTTGTATAAAAGAATTACTGTTGTCAATAACAGTCTTTTAAGTCTTTCTTTTATGTTGCAGGACAAAAATGAATTGTTTTTTACAGAGTAGTTCGACTACAAAATGTAAGGTTAAATTACTTCCCCCTTTGAAAAAAATGCATTCAGACTTATGTATGATGTAAATTGATCCAAATCATTAATAACGTTTATGAAGGTAAAATTTTCTAGGGAAAATTCCTGAAAGTATAGCCTGTTATGCCTTAAAATTTGGTAATAAATGTTAGAGGGGCCAAAATTTGAGACATATCTATGATAACAAGTGCTCATAAATATTTATTAGATGATTTAAAGAATGAATTTACCATTAACATCTGTATCACTAACATCCAGTAGAAAAGAATTTACTGTGGCTACCCATTACTCACACTTTATTTGTTCTTACTAAGTCATATACTTGAAGGTGAGCAAATAGTGCAAAGCAAGTAGGGCTTTCAGAAGCTCATTGGCTTTTGCTGAATTCATATGATACAGAACATGTAAATGGATATTTGTCCTTTTTTTAAAAATTTCATATGAGTATCTGGAATTGTGTAGACCACACCTTTCTCAAGCCTTTTCTTTACCAGGATCTCCTTTGATGAGTTAAATACTTTGTGAATTATTATGGTCTCTGACATGACTACTGTTTTACTTCTGGGTAAATATTTGTTTAGCTTTTATGTAGTTAAGATCACTGTGAAAATGGACTTGGGTGGGACAGAAGAGAAGGGAGTGCACACTTTGCTACCTGTAAGTAGTTAACAAGCCTCCAGAATTACTCAACTCTTTTGTACTTTTTTTCTTGGAAAAAGTATATCATTAAAAGTACAATTTCTCCACCTATTATATTAGGTATATTAGTCTTGGACAAGGCTAATCCATGATTTTATCAACATAAGCATGCATGTGTAATGGTAGGAGCAGGTTTTTCTCCTTCATTTCACTGGTTGGTTTCTACATATCAATTGTAATCCACTGGATGGAATTTTTAGGCAAAGCCTTCCAAATGGCTCTCAGTGCATAATGCTGAAAAGTATTATAGAACATCAGGCCACCCGATTAGTTTATCAGTATTTATTTGCTCCGAATAGTCAAATAATAAGGCAAAAGAATGAGAAATGACTGAAGGGGAAGTCCAAAGAGTCCAAATACCACAGTGCAGCTTCTTTTTATTTTCTTTTATCCAACTGAAGTGTAAAAATTCAAACGGAAACCACAAAGTTTTGTGACTTAATTGTGGAAGTGACATACCATAATTGCTGCCATTTTCTATTGGTCACACAACCAACCCTGGTATAATCTGGGAAGGGACCATACAACAGTGTGAATACCAGGAGACAAGAACAATTAGGGGCTCCTTAGAGGCTGACTACTGCAGCCATTGAGAAGTTTGATTCCTCATTTCCCCCACATGTGAATGCATCAAAGTAGAAACCAGCCTGCATTTTCTCTTGGATTTCAGTCAGTTTTGTTAACAATGTTCAGTTAGTGTATGCATTCAAGCACTATGTTGAAGTTAGACACTGTAAAACCATACATTTTTAAAACAGCTTTATTGAGACACAATTCACATACCATGAAATTTACCAACTTAAGGTGTACAACTCAATGGTTTTTAGTATTTCACAGAGTTGTGCACCCACCACTATAATCAATTTTAGAACATTTTTATTACTACAAAAAGAAACCCATACCCCTTAGCTATCACTCTCCAATTCCCCCATTCCTCCTTCAGCCCTAGACAACCACTAATCTACTTTCTGGCTCTGTAGATTTGCCTATTCTGGACATTCCATACAAATGGAATCCCACAATATGTGGTCCTTTGTGATTGGCTTCTTTAACTTAAGGTTTTCAAGGTTCATCATACTGTAGCATGAATTAGGACAGCCTAGCATGTGTCTATCCTGGGGAATGCTCCATGTGCACTTCTGGGGAATATGTATTTTGTTATTATTGGATGGAATGTTCAAAAGATGTCTGTTAGGTCTAATTGGTTTATGGTGTTATTCAAGTCTTCTATTCCTAGTTGTTCTATCCAATACTGAAAGTATGGAGTTGTGATCTCTGACTATTATCATTGAACTATCTATTTCTACCCTTGAATCTGTCACACTTTGCTTCATGTGTTTGGGGGCTCTGTTTTTAGATGCATATATGCTTAAAATTGCTATAATCTTTCGATAGATTGACCCTTTTATCATTACCAAATGATTTTTATTTCTAGTAGCAATTTTTTTAAGTTTATTTTGTCTTATATTTGTATAGCCACTCTTGGTTTGTTATGGTTGCTCTTTACCATGACACATCTTTTTCTATACTACTTGCAACTTGTTCAAATTTTTGACTCAAAAATGTGTCTCCTGTAGACAGCCTATAGTTGGAGCTTGCTTGTTTTTTTTTTTTAAATTTATCCAGTCTGACAATCTCTGCTTTTTGATTGGATTATTTAATCCATTACCTATAAAACTAACCTACCTGACTCTAAAAGAGTGGATAAAAGAAGGTTAGAGATCTCAGGACCCAAATAATGACATGGTTGTGAGTTCCTTGGATTTTCTTTAGGCCTCATATGTACTAGATTGGGTGTTGGGAAAGCTGTAACCTAGAAATACCAATGAGCACAGACCACAAAACTCAATAAAATTCTGCTCTCTCTAGATAATAGACCACAAAGAGGCAGCTTGACAGAAGAATTTCAGGCAATAACTATTCTACTCAAGCCAACACCACAGAACAAAACAAAACACACATAACCTCACTCTTACCCATGCCAGCAAAGGTTGAGTTGGGGGCCTAGACTTTCATCTTTGCCAGGTATCAGTGAGCCCCTGCTGTGTCTCTCCCCTACCCAACTCCTGTGGTGTCAGTGAAGAATATGTGGAGGCCTCAACCACCCCCAATGTAATGAGAAACCTCTTTCCCTACCTGCTTGGGTAGGATCAGAGAGTCAGGACATTCATCACCACCCCTGTGGAAGAGAAAATCAAGACATTTTCAGATGAGGGAGATGAAGAGAATTTATTGCCAGCTGACTTACCTAAAGGAAGTTCTTTGAACAGAAAGGAAACAATAAAATAAATCTTGGATATTAAGTAGGAAGAACATGGTAAGCAAAACCATGGGTAAATATAATAGACTTTCCTCCTCCTCCTGAGTTTTCTAAATTATGTTTGATGGTGGAAGCAAAAATGCAAACACTGTCTGATATGGTCCTATTGTAACACTGTCTGAGGTGAGTGTGATTTGGAAATATTAAAGACAATTAAAACATTAACAGGGCAGAGTAAGGGTATATAAAGGGAGTTAGTTTTGTTTGTTTGTTTTTTAAAGATATTATTTATTTATTTGACAGAGAGAGACAGCAAGAGAGGGAACACAAGCAGGGGGAGTGGGAGAGGGAGAAGCAGGCTTCCCGCTGAGCAGGGAGCCTGATACGGGGCTCGATCCCAGGATGCTGGGATCATGACCTGAGCTGAAGGCAGATGCTTAACGACTGAGCCACCCAGGCGCCCTGGGAGTTAGTGTTTTTATACCCTGTGCAAACTGGTAAAATGACACTAGCTGACTATAATAAGTGATATACCTATAATGGAATTCCTAGAGCAACCACTAAAAAAGCTATACAAAGAGATACAGTCAAAAACCCTACAGATAAAATTGAATTCTAAAAAATGTTTGAGGGACGCCTGCCTGGCTCAGTCA